CAGGAGTTCACCAGAATGCTCCTTCCCTGCCATCCCAGTTTCTTTTCAGTGTTGCTCTCTTCACTGCCTTCTGTCTGTCCCTCCTCCTTCTGGCTGTCTCACTTGGCCCTTCTCTATCTTTCCAGCATTTGATCCTTCTCATCTCGCTGTCAGGATCTTTCCATCTTTCTGTCCCTCTAACTCCCCCTCTGAAGCCCTGGAAATGTACAGGCCGGAGCATGGGCTGGACGCTCTCTCTTGCTCTCCGACTGTCACGCCTTATCTCCAGCCACCTATTAATCCTTTGGGCTGCGGTTTGCAGGAGCCTTGACTTGTTGAATTCAACCAGAAGGAAAGGGAAGACAAGGGGGAGGTTTGGGGAGAGTGTAGTGGCAAATCTGCAGTGAGAGAACTCAGCAAACTCTTGAGTCCGGTTTGGAACACAGACCTGTCTTCTTTAAGGAACCAAGGGTCCTGTTGCCTCATCCTCTCCCTTTCTTCCAGGATCTTCTTCCTGCCCAGCCCCTTGATGCCCACCTTATAGGCCTGGCGGCAGGCGCAGCTGGGTCAGCAGTCAGCAGAAAGTTGGCTCAACCCAGCTTAAGGACTAGATGTGGGATGGGACCCAGAAGGGTAGAAGGAAAAATGGAGGAGGCGGCCTCTGACCCCGGCTGTGGCCCCTTCTGGGCGTCCTGTGTGACCTACCATAGGTCGTGCCCCCTCCTCCCTGACCGTGATCTGCATCACAAAACCCACAGCTCATAACTCAGAGCCAGCCAGGGAAGTCCAAGATTGATTTAGGGTCCCCTCTGACCAGCTCTCTCTCTCTAAACTGCAGCCCCTGGGGTGGGGGTGGAGGTGGAGGTGAGGGTCATGGGTGAAGTTCAGACAGGGGGTTCTGATCACCAGTGCATTATACCTGTTGCAGATTCTTCTCTAGTCTTAGTTGATTTGTTGAGGGAGGGGTCCAGGCACAGGAGGTCAAGGTTCCCACTGACCCGCTCTTTTCTCTGGCTCCGTTCAGAGCCCTGCTGAGGGTGCCGTATATATATACGGCCTGACACGTGTTTCAATCAGGACTCAGGTCCAAAGCATCTTAGAAAGCAAGGAGAGCCTTCCTACCCACTGAGAAGGCAGTTAGGTCCTGAGTGAGCCCCTCTGCCCACCTCTACCCTCCACCCTCCACCTTGGTTACACTGACCTGCTCCGAGACAGGCCGCCCCAGCCCGATATGTTTTTGCTTCACTCAGTGCGTTTTGAGTTGTTAGTTCCTGCCTTTCTACCACTCTCTTCTGGAGATACCACTAAGGAATTTCCCCTACTTGAAACGCTTCAAACTTTCTTGACCATCACTCATACTAAATACACCTGTTCGGGACACACGAGCATACAGATAACTAAAAGTGAAGTTTTACAAAACTTTGTGATGCCCTGTGATGTTTTGTACTCTATTCTATTTTGTTGTAAGAAAAAGAAAAGGTTTTTAAAGTGATTTTTACAAACACTTAAGGGGCTGGCACTTACCACTTATAAGTAACCTCCGACATTGTTACACCCTCACAAAGCCCATTTTTCAAACACAAAAATCCACCTTATCTTAATAAAAGCCAGTGAGAGGGTGAGGCAGGTTTTTTCATTGGCCCATTTCATAGATGAGAAAACAGAGATTCCGAGAGGTTAATGAACCCACTTGAGATCACCTGGCTGGTGAGTGGCAGACGGGGCTCCAAGGCAGGTCTGTTGAGGGCTGGTGTGCTGTCCCCTCTGCCCTGCCGTTCTCTCTCCCTCTCCTCCCCAACCCACCCAATGGACACCAGTGCCTTCCCAGTTTGACGGCCGTCCCCTTCCACGGGGAAGCTGGAGGGACAGGGCGGCTGAGTAATTTTGTTCTCCGTGTCATCTGTTAACACTGCACCATCTGCCAGTGCTACTCCCAGCCCCCTCCCGCTCCCCAGAGGCTGGAGTGGGGGAGGGGGCGGTGTTGCTGGACCTCCAGGTCGTCCTCACCAGGGGACTCAGAATGCGGATGGAAAGCTTATTTCTCTGCCCAGAGCCAACAGCAGCAGACTGGATCACAGGGGCCCCTAAGGTTGCAGAGCAGAGCTGGCAGGAAGGACTGACATCCAGGGAGAAAACAATAGGATTCACCCCTCATCCACTCTCAGGATCTTGTCTCCCTGTCCACACACGAGCCCCCACCTTGCACACAAGCCCCCACCTTGGCGAGGCTGGGAGCCGCAGGAGGATGAGCTCACCCAGAGGCAGGAGCGAGGCCACCGGCTGTGAAGGTGGAGGAAGCGCATCTTACAGGGAGTCCAGGCAGATTTATGGGGCCTCGGGTGTGGCTGGCTGTTACTCAGACTCTGACTTTTTAATTCTCCAGTCTCCTTAGCCACCCCACCTCCTCCCCTAGAAGGCCTTTGTGCAGAACAATGAGGAATCTATAAATTCTGGGGGACAGGAGTGTGGGGGAGGGAGCACCAGTCACTTCGGCCCTGCACAGACAGCAAGGGGGGCCTCCACGGACCTGCCCCCTCTCATCTGATCCATACTGGGGCCCAGGGAAAAAGGTGGGCCAAGTTGCACCACTGTCTTTTGCAGATGCAGAAACCGAGGCACAGAGGCAGAGGGTGTCGCTAGTTCCCACTTCGTTCACTCCATCTTTCATTCACATCCTTGTTCTCCCTCTTACTCTCCCTCCTGGCCCTTCTTTCCCTCTGATGGACATTCACTCAGCAAACACCTGTGGTCTCTAGACAAACACCCATCAAGATCTAACCGTGGCCCACCCTGGAGGGGCACACAGCAGTGGGCTGTAACTCAGGAGGGGCCCCCGCATAGCTCCAACCCCATCTTTCCAGGCTGACCACCTGCATGCCTTCCCCGGTCCCTCTCCCCAGCAAACCCTCTGCAGCTGAGGAAGCACTTCCATGAGCATTTTAAATTTAATCCTGGCAATGATTCTGGGAGTTGGTGTTATGTAAGCCTCCTCCTCCAGCACTTTGCTAGTTTTTCAAAGTGCCGGGGGAGGCCCTCTGAGAGGGTATGTGGTTGCCCAAGATCACCCCTCTGGGTGGCAGAACACCAGGGCTCTGGCCCTTGTCTTCACATCACATTGGGACCCTGAGTGCCCTGGGGACCCAGAGCATAAGCTGTGGCCTAAACTTCCTCTTCTACTTACCCCAAACTAACCCCATGCCCAACTCACCCCTCAGATACATGGTCCTTGACCCTTCCCTGTGGTTCTGTTCCACCTTCCCATGGTAGCTACTAAGTGCCCCAGGCTCACCCATGTAATCGGTCATTTCACCCACCAATGTGCTGCATGATAACGATGAATGAGTGCAGTCCTCACAATGCACCTGTGTGTTTGCTGAACGGCCACACATTCTTGTGTGTGTCCTGGTGAGTCTCTGCTGGTAAACTGAGGATGTTAGTATCTACTTCACTGTGCCAATTAAAATTAGTTAAGCCACGTAAAACACTTAGAATAAGGCCTGGCACATCGCAAACACTCAGTAAACACTGGCTGTGAAGATGATCGTTACTGAAAACCACAGTTTTGCCCGTATGTATGAGGCATTTGAGGGAACACAAGTGAATATACGGGTTTGCAGCTGGCCCCTCCCAGCAAGTAGCCCCCTTAGGGCGACCGGATAGGCCAGTGTCCCGCTGGTTCCCGGAGGCACCCTGCATTCCTTAAATGTACGGAGTACGTCAAACACCTGGCTTTGCGCCAGGCACTGTGCCAGCAGAGACCAAGATAGACCAGGCCCTCACACTCACGAAGCTGGCATGATGGTAAGAGAAACAGATCACAAAGCAAGTGAATAAGGAATATAATTACAGAAAGTGGTTAGCCTGTGGAAGAAATAGATGAGGTGAAGCTGCACGGTGATGCGGCAGATGGCTGTGGGGCTGCTTTTGTGTTGTGGTCAGGGTTAATAGGGAGGTGACATCCCTGCAGAGGGTCTGAGCAGAGTGTTCCAGGCCAAGGGGCTAGCCAGGCCAAGGCCAGAGGCGGGGAAAAGCTTGTCAAGTTCAAGAAACACAAAGGCGGCCAGTGTGAACTGCATCTGGGCTGAGGGGAGAGTGATGGGGAGAGGGGAGATAGGTGGGGCCAGGGTGAGAAGTGGGGGCTTTCTCCCAAGGGAAGCCACAGGGGGGTGTTAAGCACAGAGGGGGAGACAAGCCCGAATCACTGTTTTGTTTTGTTTTTATTCGTATTTTTGAAGGTCACCCTGGCAGCTATGTGATTGACGGTTGGGGAGCCAAGAGGACAGTCAGGAGCCTTTGCACTTGTGTGATGCAGTTGCTGGGGCTTGGACCCTGGATGGGGGTGCAGGCCAGGCGCTCCTTCAGACGTATCTCAGAGACAGACGGACAAAATTTGCTAACGGGTTGGACAACAGAGGGGAGGATGGGAGAAGAATTCAAGAACAGAGAAAGGGCCAGTAAGCCCAACTAGTCCTTCATGGTCCAGAACTTTTCCCTGCCCTGGGCCACAAGAGACCTCCTGCCCGTTTTGGCCCCACCTCTTACCCACGGAAGCCAACGCGAGCCATTTGCTCGGCCCCTCTCTGTAGTCCGCGGGCTAGATCGGGGGCAGCCCGGGCTTGCCCCTTCGGGCTTTTGCGAGAAGAGGTGCTTGCCTTCCTCCAGAACGAGTCAGCACCTGCCGAGGCCCAAGGCTTGGGTTGCAGACGCCATTCATCCCCTCCTCCTGAACCTTGTTTGGATAACAGCTCCCCACCTCCCTGCCTGGACCACCGGCCCCACCTGAAAATCTTCGGAGCTCGGAGGCCTGCAGGTGCGGAGCTTGTTGGGACACCGGCCTGAAACAACTCGAGGAGCGACGACGGGAGTGGGAAGCGAGCAGGGGTGTCGGCATTTCCCAAGGGACTCTCCCGGCCGGCTCCCCAGGGGAGCGAAGTCCCTCCCGGCGTGCGCTCCCTCCCCCGCTGGATTGCCGGCCGCCCCTCCGCCCTCGGGGGCGCGGGAGCCGCTCTTCCGGCCTCGGGCTACGGGCGGGGCAGGGTCCGAGCCGTAATTGCTGCCATCTGCTCCCTCCTCCCCTCGCCATCCACCCGGCGTGGGGGAGGGGCTGGGGCGCGCGCCACCCGCACCCGGCGGCGGAGCTGTGGCCCGCCCGGGGACGAGTGTTGGGGAGCCCTGAGGACGTCCCCACGGGCCTCTGCTGGGCGGGACGGGGCCGGGCGGTCCCCGGCTGCAGCGACAGGGCACTGCGAGGTGATCGCGGAGTGCAGGTCCGGCTCCTCGCGGAGTCGGAGCTTCCGAAAGACCCTGCGGCGGTCCCTCCGGAACTCACGCCCCTGACCGACGGACGCGCTGGGCCGCGGTCGACGCCGGCTTTGGGAGACTGGCGCCTGGATCTCTGGACAGGACGGATGTGACTGGGGTTCGTGGCTGCGGAGGGGGAGGAACCCAAGGCCCAATGCCGAGCCGCAGCCTGGAACCGGTGAGGAGGAGGCACGCGGCTAGAGACTGAACTTGGCTCTCAGACGCAGCTGGCTGGAAATCCCGCCCAGCTGCCTCCCGCTTCCTGGGGCCTGGAGCTCGTACCTTCACGGCTCAGAGCGGTTTCCCCGTCTGTGAAATCCCGAGGGCCCCGGAGCTACTTCTGGGCGGTTCCACAGAGAGCCGGCTGCTCATCCTGGCAGGACACAGACATCCGTCAGGCCCATCTCTGCCTTGGGGCAGCGCGATGCTAACACGGGCTGACTGGGCCCTGTGCAAGGTGCTGCGACAGCTGGGAGCCCTGAGGAAGCAGGGACTCCACTGGGGAAGAGGGAAGGTCAGCTAGGGATCCGAGGCAGGGGAACAGCCTTGGGAGCGGCCTCTCTGCCTCGAGGCTGCCCCCTGGGCTCTCTGCAACCTCAGCTTCAGGAGCTGAGGGTGATAGCCCTGGGGGCAGTGGAGTGTTCACAGGACAGAGGAGAGCACCCCGCTGCCCTGGGCAGGCAGCCCCTTACACATCTTCACACGCCCCCTGGCACAGAAGCACATCTAAGGGATCCTGAGAAGATGGGGGCCCGGAAATACCAAGCCCTAGCCCCCCTTCCTCAAGTCAAGGCCCCTGGGGACATGGGCATTCTTCCAGCCTAGGACCCAGGACCTCACCTGTGGCACAAACCACCTTGCTACCTGCCTCCTGCAACCTGCCAACTTTGACAAACCTGTGTTTGCTGCAGAGGCCAAGGCCCGGGGCTGAGTTACAACCCCCTCACCCAACCATCCCCCCACCAACCCGGTGGCCTGATTCCTCCACACAGGTGGTCCCTGGGCAGGCCAAGCTGGCCGCTGCCAGTCCTAGGGAGACTGTCACTGCAGGGAGGGGATGCAGTGTGAGACCATCTGGACTCTTAGGGACCACTGGACAACTTGACAACCTGCTTCCCTGAGGAGTCAGGATAGGAGGTTTCTAGGCTAGGTCTGGAAGGGGAAATAGAAGTTCACTAGGGGGAGAAGAGGAGAGGTGCTGTTCTAGGCAGAAGGATCAGCCAGTGCAAAGACGGGAGTGTGAAAGTGAGACGTGCCTGGGGAAGGGTGTGAACTCTGGTGTGCCTGGGGCAAGAGTGCTGGAGGCAAGAAGTCGCCAGGGATGGGAAGACAGCTGTGTGAAGGGAGGCTGAAGGACTCATACACCAGACCAGGGGATTTAGGTTTGGGTTCATTGTAGCAAGTTGAGCTCAGGGCAGACGGGAACAGACCTGGATAGGAGGACGAACCTGACTGGGAGGGTAAGTGCCAGACCAGTGATGAAAAGGGCCATTTACTCACCTGGACCTCACACCTGGGAGACAGCAGGGATTTGTGGGGACTAAGGTGCATACGTAGGTCCCACAGACCCCTTCTGAAGGCCAAGGAATTAATTACTCAGCCCCAGCCAGGTGCTGCCATGCAGGAATGTGAGCTTAGAGATGTCAGATTTTTTTTTTTTATTAGAAATATAGGTTTCTGTGTGTTGCCTCCTGGATTTTAAATGTCAACAATTTTTTAAAACTTAAAGGTGTGTCCGAAGCACGCACAACATGAACATCTTGGGGACACAAACGCCAACTGCCGCCCAGTTGCTAGAAAGCTGTTGAAAATTTTGTGAGGGAAGTGATCTGAAAAACAGTCCTGGGTTTTAGGTGCCCACCAGGGACACTAGGGAGGAAGGGCCTGGTCAGTGGGGACAGCTGCCAGCATCCAGACCACAGGGGCTGAGCATGAACCAAGACAGCCAGGCCAGAGAGGAGGGAAGGCTCCGGGGCACAAGTGGAGGGGTCTTCAGGGATTAGCCTTCCCCTGGGGGGTGGAAAGTTTGTCCCCTCTCCCTCTGACCCCTTAAAGGAGTGCAGACACATCACCAAGTGGGTGGGGAGGCTCCGCGGAGTGCGGTGCCCCTTAGGAAATCCCCAGGGTTGCACTCTGGCAGGCCACCCCCAGGAACTGGGTAAGACATTCCACACGGCCCACAGAGGGAGGAGCCACTGGGGGAGGGGCTCAGGAATCTGCCTGGCCTTCAGGAAGACCCCAGCCAGCCCTAATGGGAACCACACGTGTGGGGTGAGCTGGAATCCTGGAGTGCCTGTGATGGTTGGCTTTGGAATCGGACACTTGGCTCAGGTCACTCCTGACCCGCTGAAGCCCGAGGCCTCCCAGCCCCAGCTCCCCTGCTAATCACTGCCAGACACATTCTGCCCTGCACCCAGCTCTGGGGTCTGTCTTGGTTCTGGGGAAGGGGTGCTTCTTGTGGGGTCCCCTATTTCCTGCTAGGAGAGCAGTGAAACCCTGGGGGATTAGGGGTTCTCAGGCAAGAATTCTAGGCTTTCTGCTGGGACAGGGGTTGATGCTTTCAGAACAGCAGAATGAGAAGTCCTTTCCCATGCTCCCTAGAACAGTTTCCCCTGAACTTCGCGGGCCCCCTGGAGCCCTGAGTGGCTTCTGGCGTTGTGGGAACCGGTGCCCTGGGCCTCCATCCCTCCCCTGCAGTAGCTGTAGGGTACGGTGACTCTGCAGTCTTGGCCTCCCTGGTCCCTCACAGGGTCCATTTCCTGCAGGACTTCAGGCTGTAGAGCAGGGCCCTGTGAGCAGGTGGTTTGCTCCTGAGGATTTTCTGTAAAAACCGGGGAGGGAAACAAGTCTCCCCTAGCAATTTCCTGGTGCTTTCTCTTTCCCCTAACTCAAACACCTCCTCACACAGCGACCAGAGCTGTGTCATAAAATTATCTCAATACAACATGGAGACCTAGAAAAATTTCCAGTCCTTGTTTGAGGGACTCACTCCAGCTTTTGAGTCATTCGTGCCCATCATCATACCCTCTAAACCCACTTTATAACACTCCAACTACAGTGTGTATGTCTCTCTGTGTGTGTATGTATGTACATATGCATGTGGGGGTGTTTCCTGTTTGAGTCCTAGACATTCCCAGGGGCCCCCTCTAGGCCCTCGGGTCCAGCCCCTCCCCCTGGGTACCCTCCTTGAGAACTTCCAGGCAGCCTGCTCAGCATCAGGCCAGGGGCCCAGGAGTGTGGACTGGCTGCATTCCTGGGGGAAGGGGAGAGGAGAGGAGGACTGCTGAGAGCCCCCTCCTCTCTTCTAAGGCACACCCCGTGCTGCCCAACCTGAAGCTCTCTCAAGCCATGCCGAAGATGCCCAGTATAGTGCCAAGGAAGCCCCTGGCAAAGGCAGCAGGGCCAGGGCCCTGGGGGCCTCTCCTGGACTCTGCTGAAAATGAAACCATCTGTGCCCGGGAGCTATTCCACTCCTGGTGGGACCTAAGGTTCCAGCATCAGTAGGGGCCCAGAGTGGTCACTGGGTGAGGGGTCTGTGAATTGAGGTGACCAGGCTTAGAGGGGATAGAGGACAGAGGACTCAGACAGAATCTTGGCATATTTTAATACCCGCACTTTCTCAGGGAAGCCCAATCTCCCAGAATCTCTAGAGAGGGTTTAGGACTTCCAGAGAGAACTCAGGCCCAGTAGAATGGAAACCAGGCAGCAATCGCTGGGGATGGGAGAGTTGGATGGGAAGGCTTCCTCTGGAGCTGGGGATTCTGGGGATTAGGGTTGTTCCTCTAACCCAATCTATCCCCATCCCCCAGCCCGGTTTCGGGAAGCCCTCCCAATGAATATTTAATAGCTCAGCGCTGGACCTGATTGAATTTTAATGCAGCGACCCGAGCCCAGAGCCTGAGTCCAGGCAATTAGTCAGGAGCCATTAACGCAGACCTAGCTGATTTATGGGCGAGGACCAGGCTGAGTGAGGAGGGGGGGGGGTCCAGGCGGCGGAGACCCAGGATTGGGTGGACACGGTCTCCTGCACTAGCCAATCCCAGCAGCTGTGCCGGCTTGCTTTGCATCTTATTTGCATAGCACTGCCAGTGGGCAAATCTGGGTGCCAGCTGGTGGGGAGACGGTGGGTTGGTGGAGGCAGGCTTCTGGCTGAGACTGGGACCCAAACTTGGCTCTCCTTAGGGGTCTGGCTGGCCTTTAATGGCTAGGCAAATCGCTCCACGTTTGGCATCTGGGATTGCATGAGACACTCCTGTTGTTTAAAGGGCCTCCTCCCAAATCCTAGTAGGGCCCGGTTGGGAGGAAATTCCAAAGGATAAGGACCGGAGCGGAGACTAGGGCCGACTTGGGCACACCGGGCAAAGCTGCTGAGTCTCAGAAACTAACAAAGGTCTGTGATTAATACAAACAGGAGCCTTATTGAGCCCATATTGTCTGCCTTGAATTGTGATTTCATGGCTCTCCCCGCTCCCTGATTCACCTGCCCTCCCTGCTCCTACTTACTGCTTCACCTCTCAGAGGGGCTTCTGCACTGATGCTTTTGGGGCTTGTGGGTTTTTAGGGTGCTGTATTATGCTTCGGAGAACTGGGAATGAATCCAAAGGGCACTTGGGGGAGATGGCCCTCCTCCCCTTCCAGCTCCTCATCCCCCTGACCTATGTGAATGAGCTGGGACTCAGCCTGGAGTGCTCTATTGAACTATGCTCGACCCCTTAAATCATAGGTCAAGGATTTAGTTGGCCTGTCTGCTGCCATTCTGGCAGGTGGCCTCCTCCTCACCAGCCCCCACCCCTTTCTGAGTCCTCATCCGGGGATGTGGTGTAGATCAGGCATCCTTCACCTCCCAGATAAGCATCCCCTTAGGTCCAGTCTTATCTGAGCTAGAGTGGTCCTTGGCAATGGAGGGGAGTGTATAAAGCTCTTGACTGGGAGACCAGCCCCTATAGGGAAAAGCTGCTTCCCCACAGGGAAGCTTGTGGAGAGGTTAGCAGGGAAGAGAGGTGGCGTTAGTTAGAGAGGTGGAAGGCTTCCTAGAAGGAGAAGAAAAGTAGAGACCAGAAGGAAGAGAGGAACCAGACCAAAGAAAAAGAAGAGGAAGGCCAAGTGTGAGCTCAAGACTCTCCTAC